GGCGGCCCAATCAGTCCTTCTGGAATTCCAGCTGGGGTGGAAGAAGTCAGAAGACACTGCTTGAGATGGCAGTCAGTGTCAGTGGCATTACTTGTTGAAGTACCTGAACTTTCTTTCAGTGTCTTGACAGTTCGGATGAGCTTTCGTATAACTTTGCTCTGATTTTCAGGATTTTGACACTTTGCGACAAAATGTCCCTTTTCCCCACAACGGTAAAAGAACTGCTCATCCAAAGGCGTTCTGTTCTGGTAAAGGGTCCTTGTCTTTGAGGTAGCCTCTACTGCTCCCATGGTAGCCAGTTTTACCGAAGAGTCTGGAGCAGTATCTCGTTGGGCTACTTTCTGTTGCAGTCTTTTCACTTGTCTTTTCAAAGCAGCCAGTTCTCTGGTGTCACTGTGCTCACTTGACTGTACTGAGGACGAATCTTTATCTATGACATCAGGGGACTTCAAGTGGCTAACTTGGCCTTAAGCTCTTTAACTTCAGCTTTGAGACTTTGTATTCTGTATTGCCAGTCCCTGAAGGTTTTGTCTGTACATGCTGGACTGAGGTATTTAGTTTTCTCCTTGATGCCTCACACTCTTCCTCTGTGCGAATCTCACTTAAGAGGTGGAGGAAAGTTGGGGGTTTGGACTTTCTTTCTCTCAGGTGCAGATTAATTAGCATGAGATCGGAAGTGACAGCCCCTCTCAGAAGTTGTTCTAGGTGAGCATTGTCTTTGCTAGAAGCTGGAAATCATCCTCTCTGGACAACTTTAGTAAGGGCCCTTTCCAGACGCCTCAGAAATTAGACAGTTTTTCACTTGGTTGTTGCTGCATTAAGCAGAAAGCGAAATAGAGATCATCCCCAGACTCAGCACTGCCAAATGTGCTTTCCAACGCCTCCAAGTATTCAACGGGACCTGCCTCGGGGTCTGACTCACGAACCGATTTGGCAATCTCCAACGCTGGCCCCTTTAAACTTTCCATCAGCCTGTGCCTTTTCTCCTTGTCTGTACAGTCCCTTTCCTCTACCATGAGCCATGCCTGCTCAAGCCAATGGTCAAAGGGGTCTTCACTAGGGGGAACTGGCAAGTTCCCTGAAAACAGCCTCAAACGCCAATAACCACCTTCAGCTTGTGGTTTATGTGCCTTCTCCAAAAAATCACCAACCACTTGCAAGACAGACTCAGTGGAGTTTATGGAAGGATCAGAGCTGGGCTGCGGAGGAGCAAGGCTGATTAATAAGCTTTGTATATGTCTTCCATAGTCCTACCCTCAGTGTCTAAGAGACTCTTCAACTTCACAGCAAAATCGTCAGGAGCTGCACATTCATTTCTTACCACTGTGCTGGTCCAGCACTTCTTTGGGTGCATTATCTTTAGGTATACTTTGTTTGCATTCGCAGAGAACCATTAGGCAGCTCAAGGGGGTGTGGAACAAGTGCCCTCTAACCCGGACTCGCCCTAGACACTTAATAGTCTCCAAGGTTTCTTCTATCTGGGCTATTTCCACTTCTTCTGGAACCAGAACCAAGAGTGCTTTAGCTTCCTCCAAACCTTCACCCCGACACCAACTCTTCAGCTCTGCAGCAAGCCCGGTGTGGTCTGCCATACTCTTTGTAGCAAAAAATACTAAGAAATGTAAACTAGCTACTGTAGGTTAACTTTTTTTTTTTTTTAGTGTGTTGCCCCTTTAATACTTCTATGAAACCCAAAAACATCCCAGCGGTGCCTCCATTTTATGTAGCCCTCATTTACTCAATACCATTAAATAAATGGGCTTTGGGTTCTTTTTCTAGTGTACTCTCGTATGATATTTTTAAATTAACTTCTCTTTTGTTTCTGGGATCAATGAAGCTTATTCCTTAACAGTAGCACTACACGGGAAAATGAACACTAGTGTCTACAGTGCAGTAAATTATGTCATACACCATGTAAAGTAGAGCATTGCAACCCTCCTTCAATTTACCAAACAATGAAAACAATAAAATAATAAAATGGCAGGTTTCAGTATTCAGGCAAAGCAAAATACACACAGCAATTTACCAGCTGTACACAGAATTTCCTCATATACAATGTAAACCACCAGTGATAAAACAATTATAGTCCCAAATTAAACCTAAAGCCGTCAGAAATACACCCTACGTTGCAGGCCTGTATTGCTCCAGTATAAATCCAAAAGATCTCCCAACCGGAAGTTCTTCACTCAATGAGCAAAAAATAAATAAACTCAATACCTTGTGAAACTTGCAACTCCCACCAGATTAATCCAGGCAACAGGATGCAGTAGCACAAAGATGAGGAAGGTCTGTGATCTCCACGTGCTCCACAAGCTACCTGTTTTAGCTTCCCACGTTGCCAGAGGTACTCTAAGTGACTATCTGGGGTCTGTCCGTCGTTATCCAGTTCAGTAACGATCCTCTGCAGCTTGTTACGTTCCACAACTTTAGAGAAACGGCAGTCTACAGTAGTCCTTATTAGCGAACGGCTGGGTTAGCCTCACTTTAACTCAAATGCGTGCGCGGCCACAAGAAACAAAACACACAGTCCAGCAGACTCACGCTGAAACTTTACGTGTAATGTCACTAGCTTATCGACATTGTGACTTGTCTTTACGAAAAGTCAAAACACACTTACTAACATTACATAAAAACAAGACCGCCCTCTCTTCTTGCCTTGTCTTTTTATTTCTCCTTTTCTTTCTCCACCCTGTGTTACCTTCATAGACCATATCCCCGTAGGAAATTACAGTTCTCACAAGCAATTCCCAATAAAAGAAAGATAACTTATTTTAAACAATGCAAACATGTTTTTAATCATTTTACATGAACTTTGATCTTTTTAATATACAAGAAAATTGAACAAATGAATTTTACTCTTTGGTATTTATATTCTCAGACTTTACTTATCTTTTACTATTTATGCATCTTTTTAATCCGGGTTTATTATATATAAGCTTGTATTTATTCAATTCAATTTCAATTCAATTCAATTTTATTTATATAGCGCCAAATCACAACAAAAGTCGCCTCAAGGCGCTTCATAGATACAGAGAAAAACCCAACAATCATATGACCCCCTATGAGCAAGCACTTTGGCGACAGTGGGAAGGAAAAACTCCCTTTTAACAGGAAGAAACCTCCGGCAGAACCAGGCTCAGGGAGGGGCGGCCATCTGCTGCGACCGGTTGGGGTGAGAGAAGGAAGACAGGATAAAAGACATGCTGTGGAAGAGAGACAGAGGTTAATAACAGATATGATTCAATGCAGAGAGGTCTATTAGTGAGTGAGAAAGGTGACTGGAAAGGAAAAACTCAATGCATCATGGGAATCCCCCGGCAGCCTACGTCTATTGCAGCATAACTAAGGGAGGATTCAGGGTCACCTGGTCCAGCCCTAACTATATGCTTTAGCAAAAAGGAAAGTTTTAAGCCTAATCTTAAAATAGAGATAGTGTCTGTCTCCCGAATCCAAACTGGAAGCTGGTTCCACAGAAGAGGGGCCTGAAAACTGAAGGCTCTGCCTCCCATTCTACTTTTAAATACTCTAGGAACAACAAGTAGGCCTGCAGAGCGAGAGCGAAGTGCTCTAATAGGGTGATATGGTACTACAAGGTCATTAAGATAAGATGGGGCCTGATTATTTAATGTGTCAATATGTAAAATATGCTGATAAACTGACAAGTCATAGGTGGCTCAATTTTCTAAAAAACTTTCTGTCATAAATTTGTAGTCAATTTATGACATTTGGGAGGTGTGACATTTGTGGTAAGAATCTGACCCAAACACAGGACTTTTCCAAAAGAGAGACAGTGAATTTATTTACAGTGAACAAAGGTGAATAACAATGTGACAATCCCCGCACTGTGGCCCCCGTGGCGATTTCTCCCAAATCCCACACAGTGTTCATGTCTGTGGCGTGTATCGGGAAACTCCAAATTTCAATCTGTACAGGGGCTCCAATCCCAAATCCTGGCAAGACAAGACGCAATGATTAGTCTAGCGAGCAACACACAGATATACACACAAAGTTTTCACTATTGAGCCGGGGCTATACTGACAACTAAACTCAACAATCCAGCATCGACTGAAGCTCAGCCACACAGTTAAGTAGGGAGGCTGCCCGCGATGACAAGCAGCTGCAGCTGACGAGAACTGATGAGCAGTAGGTGTGGCTGACTTCAGCGCAGGAAATCTTCAGGGTCTGCAGACGTTTGCAACCGGACTTCCGGAAACACACACACGTCCAAAAACAAATACACACAAACAGGGAAATAGAGGACCAGAGGGGAGCCAAGACCAAAACAAAACACAATACACAGACACATCGGGTGAAGGTCGACTGGCGAGGGCTGCCAAACCATGACAGGAGGAGAAACTATTCACAAATCACAAATAATTCACAAATCTAAAATGAAACACACTAGGAGTCAGATGCATTCTAATTATAGGAAGTACACTGTGCGAGGTAGATGCCTAGACAGAGCATGCAGGATGCAGCACACAGAATATTAGCTACTCTATTTTCATAGTCCACTTGCACCAAGATGGCATCTAAAATCAGTTAAATTATCAAAGGAAAGCTATTTAGGTTTGCAACCAATATAAAGAGGTTCAGATTACCTCTGGCATGGCTGTATCCACTGTAGTTAGTGTACACAATAAAAGGCAAAAAATTGTATGGGCAATGCTTTTATCCCGCCTATTTAGCTTTAGGCTTTGAATTTAGCAGAATGCTTAATGGGATAGATGGCTGTTGATTAGTGCTGTGGCTCTAGTTTTCTATGGAGTATGAATTTAAATGTATACTTAAAAATGCTGTGTGTAAGTGATCACTATACAAGGGTACAGGATGGTTACACTGAATGAGGGAGGGCAGTATATAAGAATCAAGTGCTTCTTCTCCTTATTATTTTTTTCTGTCAGTCACACCTTTGTAACATGTTTAACGCTTTGAATCCACAGTGACATGTAGTTAAAGCAGAGACTAGTTTATGGCTTTTCTTTGTTTTAAACTAACAGATTGAACAGGAGCGTATCGATAAAATCTGGCCCAAACTGCGCGTGCTGGCTCGGTCCTCACCAACTGATAAACACACTTTGGTTAAAGGTGAGTCCATAAACCAAAACACACACTCATATACAAACCGATTCACTGCCAATTAAAACTGTTTTTATTTTCCTTTTTGTGTTTGCACCCAGGCATCATTGATAGCAGCGTTGTAGAACAGAGGCAGGTTGTTGCAGTAACAGGAGACGGAACTAATGACGGCCCAGCTTTGAAGAAGGCTGATGTGGGCTTTGCCATGGTAACCTGAGATACTGTTCACCATTAGTGTTTATTTGGGATTAATGTGCTTCTGTCATGACATTTTTTGTAGTAATCAGTCTCTTATTCTGTATTTTTGAAGTAAATCTTTTTATGATTCAAGATGTATAAAATACATCTATTATAAATCTGTAAAGGACAGAGTATTTTCCATTGTACTTTGTAATAACAAGTGTTTTGAGTAGTGTGCATTTTATTTTGGCCACAGCTCTTACTCATGCCAAGTGGTAGCACTTGGAGGCAGGACAGCATGATATTGAGACAGTAGCACTCCAAAGTAATTTGGATGCTTGAATGCTTGCATGAATCATGTCATGAGTCTCTGACTCCCCCTCACTCTGTCTCAATCTCTGTCAGGGTATCGCAGGGACGGACGTGGCTAAAGAGGCGTCTGACATTATCCTGACTGATGACAACTTCAGCAGCATTGTCAAGGCAGTGATGTGGGGAAGAAACGTCTACGATAGCATCTCCAAGTTTCTACAGTTCCAGCTCACAGTCAACGTAGTGGCTGTCATCGTGGCCTTCACCGGGGCCTGTATCACCCAGGTAGACAGACAGATGAATACACATATATGCTGACACATGTGCCTTCCTACACACACACACAGATATCACTTCTGTAAATGTCGCTCACTTATACCTGCTAGGGCAAACGTAATGCACAATGCTTTTTTATGCATTTGTACACCAAGCTTATATAAGCAGTGATGTCCTGACACTTGGAAACATTTCTATATGTTTGACAAGTAATGATGATCAACTTAGAAATGCACAGTTATGTAATAGGGCTATTAGGGCTGGGTATCAATTTCTATTTCTATAACTGATTTGATTTGATTCAGTTTTGACTCAGACAGTCAAAATTGTGTCAAAGTAACTGAGGATAAAGCATAGAAAAACATAAAGGAGATTTTCCTGGCCTGGCTTTTTGCAGGGGTTTTATTAGAGGCAGAGGTAAGTATTTTGCAATTAGGCATATTTTGTAAAAACTAAACTTTTTTCAATATTGAACAGCAGAAATTAGACTTTCTAGTTGGAGGTCATTTTTGAATAAAAAAACACAGCGGGCGACAGTGCTGTGCACAACGTAGACTGGTGTTTGATAAGCAAACGAATAATGCAGAAAACAGATTTCTGATGGTAAACTGGTCTACACATAGCTGTGCAGGAAGTATGATTTTTATCTTGGTGGAAGCAGAACAGCAAAAGCAAGAGAGAAATCATGTTAATGTTTTTCAAACATGAAGCGTAGTTTTGATCTTCTATTGCTGCTGGTTCAGTGAATTTTGGTGGGAGAGTGACAAAACCTGCAGTTTCAGAATCTGTGACATGTCGACTTTCGGCACCCAATGGCGTGTCGCGTATGTGCCACCGGGTGAACGGCGAGATCCGCGCTTTGTGTTTACATCTTTTTGCGGAATCTGTTTACCTGCTCTTATTTGCTGTTTTAGCTGTTTGATGGTTGTTGAAATAGTTTTGTCAGCTTTAACCTGAGATTCTGGTGTTTCTGGCAAAATACATTTATACAGGATTTAATGAATCGATATCGCATTATTCAAACTAAAATAGTTTTGATTTGGGAAAATCGATTTTTTAAGCCCACCCCTAGTGACTACATGTTTGTATTTCTGTATTATGAACAACTTTAACAATCTTTAATTACGAAGAAGGAACTATCATGCTTCCAAGCATCTTGATGCTTATATTGAATTTGGCCAATGTTGCAAACAATTAGATTGGTAGCCAAGTGTAGAAAAATGCTCTGAAACAATGTTTGAAAGCAGTCTGAGCTTTTGGGTCAGACGTAACTTGTACATTTGTACTAAAGGTCATCTCAGACATTTAGTTTTCACCGTGCACTTAATTTTGTTTTTCTTTTTTGTTTGTTTTTTCTTCTGAGTAGCAGCCACTCGGAAGAAAACTGGCATAGCCCTTGTGTTCTGTATAACACTATAAATTCTGTACTTGCTATGCTTCCGTGCCGTCCTCTGAGGCTTTGTGTAATAAGTTTATTAATTTCTTTGTGGACAAGGTTGAAAGCATGAGACCTCCAACTCCTATTGCCGACCCTTCTAAGCATGTTTCGTGCTCATGTTTGCTATCCACCTTCCTACCAATTGCTCTGCCTGATTTAGAGAAACTGGTGTTAAATGCTAAACCGTGTGGTTCTCCGAATGATGTGGTTCCTCCCCGCTTTCTCCAAAAGGTATTTCGTTTTATTGGACCTCAAATTCTGAACATTATTAACACTACTCTTCTGTCTGGTCAAGTACCTAGTGAGTTTAAGCATGCAGTTATACATCCCTTGCTTAGGAAACCTGGCTTAGATACCTCAATCATGTCAAATTTTAGACCTATCTCTAAGCTTCCTTTTCTAAGTAAGATCTTGGAAAGGATTGTTTATACTCAGCTGATGGACTACTTGAATGACTTCCAGTTGTCTGAAATTTTTCAATCCGGTTTTAAGCCTTTTCACAGCACGGAGACAGCCCTTGTAAGAGTTATCAATGATGTTCTGGTAGCTGCTGATCGTGGTAAATATGCAGTGCTGGTCTTATTGGACATGACCGCTGCCTTCGACACAGTGGATCACAATCTATTGATCTCCCACCTTCACCATTGTGTGGGAATTTCTGACTTGGCACTGTTGAGGTTTAAATCATACCTGTCTAACAAAAGTTTTAATTTTAACGATCGTAAAACGGAAGCGATTTTACTTGGCCCAAATCAATTTTCCAACCCTCCAGATGTTGATTTCGCTGTTCTGACCTCTCATTTGAATAGTTCAAACATAAATCTTGGAGTAAAGATCGATTCTGCACTTACCTTTGATGACTACATGAATGGGGTGGTAAAATCAGCATTCTACCACCTCAGACGTCTATCGAAGGCAAGCCCTTTCTCTCCAAATGTAACTTAGAAACTGTAATTCATGCCTTTATTACTTCACGCCTGGATTACTGTAATTCCATTTTAATAGGGGCTGGTCTTACAATTAGTTCAAAATGCTGTGGCTTGATTTTTAATTGGTAGAAGAAAGTTCGACCACATTTGGCCTCTCTACATTGGCTTCCAATCAAATTTAGGATCAGTTTTAAAGTTCTTTTATTGTTTTTTAAATCCTTAAATGGTTTGGCCCCGTTTATTTGTCAGATTTGTTGAAGCCTTATGTAACCACTAGTTCCCTCCGGTCAGCTGGGCAACTGCTGCTTTCAGTCCCTAAGTCATGGCTGAAACTCAGAGGAGACCAGGCAGATTTCCACATACTTCACTAAGAGGTATGTGCCACCCTGCCTAGACTGATTTGCCCCCACCCAATGTAAAGTACAATTTTCTAGATCTGCCATTGCAGGCAGACACAATGGAAGAGGTGCTGTAACTAGAAAGAAGGCTAGTTCTCAAAGAATAGTTCCTGTTCTTGGAGATGACAGCCACACACACTACTTCACTGAGAGTGGACTATTATAGGACACCAATGGTTCTGGTCAGTTTGCAAAAGAGTATCAGATCATATATCTTTTTATCTCACATTACATGCTTTCATACTGTATCATATCATTAGAAACAAGCTGGAAACATATTTAAAAATGGCTATATTCTGTACTATTAAAATCTAGATGAAAAAATTAAATTCAGCTGTTTTTGAGCATTCTAAAACTGCATCAGTTTACATTTCAACATGTGACAGTGACCCGTCCACAGTGACAGAGGTGCTGTCGGCTATGGAAAAAGAAACATGTGGAAAGAAACATGTTAAAGATATAAATAATAAGTAACAGTAAAAAAAACAGTAGGTAAGGCTGCACTTCTTGCAGTGATTTCGTATAGAAAACCTTTTCATCAGTAATATGTTTTCTTTTTGTCTGCTTTCAGAACTCTACATGATTGTTTGCAGCTAGCAGGTTGTTAATGCTGTCCATCAAGTCTAACAGTCTGTAGTCTGTGAACTGACCTTAGCTAACGCCAGCTAACAATGTTAGCTCGGTGGTGAGTAGCCTTCAGTAATAGTAAGAAATCACACAGCAAGCAATAGTACATCAAAGAGACTGAAGTGACACATTTATAACTGATGCCACCAACATTAACAGGATGCTTACACTAGAGCCTCTCGCATGTTTTCTTTGGGTTTCTGGCAATGCGTTTAAGAATCCAAAATTAAAGAGGGAGCCTAAGAGCCTAACATATGAAACAGGAAAAGACTGCCGTATAAACCGTTTATTTCAACAAAGTAACTGTATTCTAATTATCACCTATTTAAATGGTAACTGTAACGCACTACAGTTACTCATATTTTGTATTTTAAATACGTAACGCCGGTACATGTATTGTGTTACTCCTAGGGATGGGTATCGTTTAGGTTTTATCCGATACCAGTGCCAAACCGGTACTTTTGAAACGGTGCCGGTGCTTAAACGGTGCTCAAACCGGTGCTTGAAGAATGGAGAACACAAAATTGGTCCAAAAACCTCTCATGTTCAGCTGTTTTTTTGTAAAACGATAACAATGTTAGCCTTTTCTGCAGCTATGGGGCATATATGGTATCACTCTTGGCTGGAAGCAGTGCTTAAACAATGGAAAAAACACAAACTTTGTCCAAAAACCTCTCATGTTTAACTGTTTTCCACTTTTTCTTTGGTCATTTTAGCCTTTTTGGCCATGGTGAAGGGAGTATCTGCCATCAAACAAGAAGACAGCCGCATGTAGCTATGATGATGTTTGTTAGTTCACCTTACATGCATTAATTTAATAGCCTACTCAACGTAAATTACACACGAACAACATTAAGCTACTCACGCAGAGAAGAACGGCGGCTGCTGCCATCATCATCCGTCATCATTTCTGCTACACTGGCAGGGCTAGGGGCCAGGACTCTATTCTTCGGGTTTTTGGGGGATGTTGCTCCGGGTCCGATAACTGGCAACCCACCCGCAGTAGATGTGCACGGAGTGAGGTCTCGCAGCAAGCTATCAAATACGGCGCATTTCTCGGCTTTTAAAAAAAACGCTATGCGTCGCCAGGTGTTTCATCGGATTTGAGGTGTTACCTCCTTTGACAGTATCACAGTATCAGCTTAAAGCACTTGTTGCTGCTGAGTTTGCATCTTTTGCTGTGAAGTACAGCCAGACTTTTGACCGCTTCGCCTAGGGCATTTTTAATCTGTAGCTCTGCTCTAAAAGAACGTACGTACGTACCTGGACCTGCCTACTGTCCTCGGAAACGTAAAATGATTGGCTAGAATCTAAAATGTATCACAGCTCAGGAAAAAAAAGCACTGAAATAAAGCACCGAAATAAAGCACCGAAATGTGTGCTGCTTTTCGGTCTGGTTACTACCGTTTATGTCAGAACCGGTGCCATCATGGCACCGGATACCGGTACCCATCCCTAGTTACTCCTCAGCACTGTTTGTCATTCTGTTCATCCCTAGTTGGTGTCTGTACCAGTGGCTAGGTGCTGTCCCTTTATAAGAGCCAAGAGTTTTACTTTCCCCTTCCTCCATGTAAAGAATGTGCCCATGGCACATCTAGGGTTTCCTCTACAGAAACCTGCATTGCGTTTAAAATATGTGGTGGTAAGCCAGAGGCCTAACAAGGTGCACATCTGATGTTGTTATATCCCAGCTCCCTGGCACATAGCAAACACTTCACCTTGTACAAAAGTAAAGCCCCTTAACATAAATTGTATTGCACCATCAGTATTATGAAAATACATCTTCTGTAGAAATTTACATACCTTGTTGGGAGGAATAAAATCAAAATGTTCCCACACAGGGGAGGACATCCTCCTCTTCTTAGCTGGCTCCATTCTCTCCTGACTTTCTCTCCTCACTCTCATAAACTCTCTTTTTCTGTGTCGAACCGTGGGACTATTCATTCAGGGGTTGTGTTTTGTGCTACGGATAGTAATGTGAATCTGCCCAGCCTCCTGAAGCTCTCTTAGCTGCCCAGCCTCCTGTAGCTCTCTTAGCTGCGTCTCCTGTGTCCCCGCTAGCACAGTCATTAACTCCACCACAAGCTCCATTTTCACCTCTACCATTGCTTCAGTCATCAGTTCGGTCTGCCACTCAGTCGCCCTTAGCTCCATCATCCACACTACCAGCTGCTTCTCTTCCACCACAACCATCACTACACTCAGCCATTCAGGCTGCTACTCAGTCAGTCATTCAACCTATAGCCCTGCCATTAATGCACTCTGTGGCTGAGCCATTAGCCGCCCGGCCCGCAACCAATTCGGCCACTCCTCCACCCGTTACACCTCCACCACCATCGTCACTGCTGCCCGCAGCACAGCCTATAGCCCTGCTACTCATAACTCCGTCTTCAGTGTCTCCACTCCCTGTAGCTCAGTCTCCCATGTCCCTGTCACCACAACCGTCACTACAGTCCCCAGTTCAGTCTCCTGCAGCTCAGCAGCCACCAGTTCAGTTCCCTGTAGCACTTCAGTCTCCTTCAGTACAGTCTGTCACCCAGTCGCCGCTCAGTTTCCAGCTCAGTCATCTACTCAACCACCAGCTCCACTTTCTCCCCAATCGTCATTAATACCTCTAGTTCGGTTTCCTGTGCAGTCACCCCTAGTTCATTTTCCTGTGCAGTCATCAACTCCACCACCTACTCCATTTTCACCACTCTCACTACAGCCATCAGCCATCACTACAGCCATCAGTATAGCTTGCCATTGCCAGTGTGTGAATGTGTGTGTGAATGGGTGAATTACTGAATGTAGTGTAAAGCGCTTTGGGGTCCTTAGGGACCCCAAAGTCCCCTGTGCCAGTTCAGACTTCAGTTCAGTCCCTTGTAGCAATTCAGTTCCCTGGTCAGCCACACACTCACCCACCTAGTCAGCCTAATGTTCAGTCAGGGGTCCCCACACCCTCTAGCCCTGCATCTGCTCCTGCTGGAGGCTCGAGTGAGCAGATTAAGCACTCTGCGGCTCCCGCGCCGCCATCTACCTCGTCCGCTTGGGGTTCCGGTGAGCCCGGTCAGCTCTTCCTCGTCTCCGCTGGGGGTTCTGGTGAGCCCGGCCAGCACTTCCTCGTCTCCGCTGGGGGTTCAGGAGAACCCCTCGAGCCGCTCCTCGTCTCTGCTGGGGGTTCAGGGGAACCTCTCCAGCCGCTCCTCGTCTCCGCTGGGGGTTCAGGTCAGCCTGGCCAGAACCTCCTCGTCTCCGCTGGAGGGTCCAAGATGCTACGGCCTGGTCCAGCTTAATCCTCGTCTGGTCCAGCCTCATCCGAGTCTTCATCCTCGTCTGGTCCAGCCTCATCCGAGTCTTCATCCACGTCTGGTCCAGCCTCATCCGAGGCTGCAGACGAAGATGAAGATCTTCGTCTGCAGCGTCAGCTTCAGCTTCCTCTGGTCCCGCAGCTGCTAAGCTGCCGTGTGGTCTGGTCCTGCGGTTGACTCGCCACTTCCTCGTCCACACCTTGCATGGCCAGCTCTTCCCCAAGATCTCCTTCGTCTGAGTCGCCGCCGCCGTTGCTGTCCGCACGGTCAGCTGCCTGAACTGTTTCCACGCCGCCGCCGTAGCCGTCCGCACGGTCGGCCCCCTGAACTGAACTGTGTTTGGGCTGTTTTCTTGGGCTCCGGTGTTTACTGTGCACTGCTTTTGTTTTCTGTTCCGAATGTGGAACAGAAAACTTACCTTGGGATATCCCTGTGTCTCACTGTGAGTTTAGTTTGTGAGTTTCCAGTTTAGTTTGCTTTTGTATGACTTTCTCCTGCTGTCCGGCTGTGTGCAGGCAGGAAAGGCAGGCAGGAAGGGCAGGCAGGCAGGCAAGGGCAGGGCAGGGCAGGGCAGGGCAGGGCAGGGCAGGGCAGGGCAGGGCAGGGCAAGGCAGGGCAGGGCAGGGCAGGGCAGGGCAGGGCAGGCAGGCAGGAATATTTTCAGGCCACACAGCATGAATGAGGGTAGATCACGACACGGACACAGAGAAACACAGGGCTTAAATACACAGAGGGAGCAATCAGGCAGGGAATGGGTAACAGGAGGGAAACACAGCTGGGGCAAATCAGGCCTAACGAGACAAGGGGAAGCGAAACCAGATACATTAACATCAGACATGGACCTTCAAAATAAAACAGGAAACATAACACAGACTGAACTAAAGACACAGACTCACACGCAGGCACTGCAACAGAGGGAACAGAGACGTGGGACCAGGACAGACACAGACATTGACTGGATACGGGGATATCGCAGACAGGGGAGACAGCAACTAACGATGCACAGAGACATAAACCATAAAAGAGAACTCTAACAAAGAAACCCAAGATTAGAAATGATAAATAATATAATAAACTCAAAAACCCTGGGTCAACGACCCAGGCATCCTAACTCCTGCCAGCAAATAAAGCTGAGTTCTTTGTGTTTAAACCTCGTGCCTGAGTGCCTGCATTTTGGGTCCAACTCCTGCCTACCGTACAGCGATTCATGACAGAATGACCGAGAACCTACACACACATATAAAAACAAAAGTTAAATTAGTAAACCTACTCTGAAATTAACTGACGATAAAAATTTTAAACTAAATAAAAACAAATGGAAAATACAAAACGAATTTAACTGCAGACAGTCTGTCCTCAGCAACCTTACAGTCACTTTTAGATTACTTTTACCACGCAGACACACATAGACAATTAATAAAATAATTAGTAATTCCAACTGTAGAAGAAATAAATTACTGCAGGAGAACTTTATGCACGATTTGTGATACCAACCCATGGTTGCAAATCTCTCTGCAGGACTCTCCCCTGAAGGCGGTGCAGATGCTGTGGGTAAATCTGATCATGGACACGTTTGCTTCTCTGGCCCTTGCTACCGAGCCCCCCACTGAGGCCCTGTTGCTACGAAAGCCTTATGGCCGGAACAACCCGCTCATTTCACTGACCATGATGAAGAACATCCTGGGCCATGGAGTGTACCAGCTGGTCATCATCTTTACCCTGCTGTTCATAGGTACAGAAATACACTTAAAAATAAACACACATACAGGCTATATACTCAGATTGAGTACTGGTTGATACACAGGCTCAGGATACTTAAGGGTATAACTTAAGGATATCCTTCCCTTTATGCTAACCTTAACCTCTTAAGCCCCAAGCCTAACTGATCTCCTGCCTTTTGCCCCCGTATCAGGGGGGCATTGGGGCTTAAGAGGTTAATCAATTCAATTACATTTTATTTCTATATTCCCAATATACGACAGTAGTCACCTAAAAACACTTTGTATTGTAGGCTAATATGTACGACAATATTAGAAAGAAATAGCAACATCCCCTGTTAGGAAACATTTGATGGGAAGGAAAAACTGCCTTTTAACGGGAAGAAACCTCTTGAAGAACCAGGGTCAGGGTAGGGCGATCATTTACCATGGCCAGTTAAGAGTGAGGGGAAAGGGAAGAGAACAGAGAGACACAAAGGACACCTATCATGTCACCTAACAATAACTTTTTATCAAAAAGGCAAGTTTCTCATCAGAAAATTAGAGAGTGTATTTCTTCCACATCCAAACTGGATTCCACAGGAGCCTCAACTAAAGGCTCTGTCTTCCTTTGTACTTTTAAAAATTCTAGGAACTACAAGTAAGCGTGCATTCTTGGTGCTTTGATTGGATAATAATGTACTATGAGTTCTTTAAAGTATGACTTGTTAAAAAAAAATTTATGAGGAAAAGGATTTTAAATTCAATTCTGGATTTTAAAAGGAGCCACTGCATAAGCTAATACATGGTTGTTCTTTCTAGGCCCATTGCCATTCAGTTTTTTAAAGAAGTAAATTCAGGCATTTAGGGCTTTAAGACATACCTGTAGTTTTACTAGCTGATTTGTATCATCTGGTTTCATGGAGAAAGAATGAAAATTTATAATTTTTTCTAATAATATTGTCTAAGTGAAACAATATTAGTCCCAGCACAGAACCCTGTGGAACTCCATAACTTTTATGTGTGAAGAAAATTCCCATTTACATGCTCAGTTTGGAATCTATCAAATAAATATGAACAATTTCTTTAATGCCAACAGTGTGTTATATCATTGAGGTAAAATATTGTGTTGCACTGAGGACTAGCGAGTTCAGAAGTAGGGTTTGGCAATATGGAAGAAAACCTTAGAAAATTTTTAGAATAATATAACACACTCAACTGCACCTTTCTTTGTGACTTTATGTACTTAAAATTGTTTTTTGGCAGCATGGTAACATCCCGAATTAATTGGCCATGCTAGCCCTAACCTAAACCTGTCTATAATCTTACTACTAAGACCAAGTCTGAATGTTCTTTTATTTCTTCCTTTTTTCTGTGCTCTCCAGGCGAACGAATGTTCAACATTGACAGTGGTCGTAATGCTCCGCTTCACTCCCCGCCCTCTGAGCACTACACCATTATCTTCAACACCTTTGTCCTCATGCAGCTTTTCAACGAGATCAATGCTCGCAAAATCCATGGAGAGAGAAATGTTTTTGATGGCATTTTTTCTAACCCAATCTTCTGCTCCATTGTTTTGGGAACTTTTGCTGTGCAGGTCAGGTTAATCCTTTAACACCTTTTAGTATTTCATAGAGGAAATTTTGAGCCGCTGATGTTTTGTCCTTCTTATGGTACAGCATACTGTGTTATTCAAGTGCCAAAAACTAATTCCTCCAATGACCACTTGTGGCTGTTTCAAGAGTGAATCAAACCTCACAGACTCCAGTGTTAAAATGTCACACTTAAGTCCATGAAATTAAAGTGTTTACAGCATGCTACAAAAATAGCTTGGGTTGGATTTATGGCTAAGGTTCTCACCTTTATAATAACCGTATGAGGGATGAATTCTTATTAAAAATGACCATTTGCATTTGGTTCAGTTAAGTTCTATTCTAAGATGCAAGACTAGCAATGGAAGCTCATAGTCTACAAAACACGTTTTTTTTACTGGAACTTCATTACATAAATGGCATGTCACTGACATGTGATTTATTTTAACATTTCCATATCCAGAACTCTAAATTATTTTTTGTATCATAATTATTTATAGTGAGACATAAATGAATGTCTCTTCTCAACAGTTTGGTAAAGGATTACAACATAGTTTAGTTTGGGGTAAAAAGTAATGTTCCCAAAAGAAGTGAGACTGTAACTGGGTTTTATATTTTAGTCATTTATTTTGCTGTTTTGGTCACTTTTATAGATTCAGTCCATATTTGGATCAATTGACTCATGCTGAACACATTAGCAATGCAATGAGAAAGGAACTCTGTGTACACAGAAATACAGACAAGAAAACAAAGAGAGACTGAGAGGAGGGAAGAAAGAAGAAGAATATTTTCAGAACTCTACGGTGCTTGTTGTTACCCTGGGTAGAGAAAAACAAGAGAGGGGGGGCTTGAGGGGAGGAGCAGGGATTTGGGGTATAATAGTGATGAAAAAACAGATTTGTATTAAAATAAAATCAGAGAGATCTGAAGAGTGGAAGCAGCTTGAGAGAGGTGAAAGAGGAAGAAATAAGTAAGAAAGCTACAAAATGATATTATATGTGATATGATGGATCGTATTCACAGTGTGATTTCTGACTCTCTGGGTTGGTCCAAAGATGGCAGTGTCACTGATAAGCCTTGTTCCACGTGTAAATGATCAAGTGCTGTTGGTACATCCACTGAGGCATGTAGACCTTAGAGGACATAAGAGTGCTGCTTTACTTTGAGCTTAAAGAAGTGGTTTGAGCAAGCCACATATATTGTTTTGGAATAATTACTCTTAAAGTTTAGTTCTATACATTATATACATCTTTTTACACAGTAATGTAAGTTGGGGCAGACTGACTGCTCTGCCTAATATGGCAGAGATTCCCTGTTCTCAGCTTACAATCAAGTCTGAGTTACCAAAGATGAATCTGCCCAGGGGTCACAGATCTCCAGGGGTCCAGAAGTTTCCACAACTCAAGTAGTGGTAAAATCCAGTTTTAAGAGCAGCATTGTATGATTATGTAATGTTGATGTTTTTATCTGTATCACAGATAATCTGGAAAAAGTAGAAGAGGTTGTACTTGTAGAAGAGTTCAGAGTTCATGCAAAGTTTTAACTCGTGTCACTTGATCTAAGTGTGCTTTTAGAAACCAACAAATATTTGCAGGGTGACACAAGAGCAGTACATCTGATGGTTGAAGATAAGTTAAAGTAATATATTTCACATATATGGAGGTCATATGATTTCACTCACTCTTCTCAAAGCCCACTCCATGTTTTCCTGTTTCTATAAAACAAACAAACAAAAAAGCTTCATCTCCCAGTAAAGGGCAACTGCAAGCCTCTTCTCCAGTTGATTGTTTTTGGAATCAGAAGAATCCACACTCAAAGAAATCTGGGAAATACAAAAAATTACTAAAGTGTTCAGTGACTATATACTCCATTAAACTCAAATCTCATTCGTTTAAATCAGCACACTGCAGCAGGAACATATTCTATTTGTCAATGTTGAGTGTTTTCCCTGCAGCAATAAGACTAAAACACGTGCAGTCTTTTGTGTTGTACAAAAGACTGCAAGACTGATAAAATGTCCTGAAATAAAGGACATTTTATCAGAGCTGGCCTGATACAGGCTTTTGGGTGCAGATGGCCTTATACATTTTAGGCCAGTATATTTGATAGGTTTGTAGCTTGAACCTATCCGCTGGAACGTTAAGGACAATATAATTACACAAGACAATTACGCAAGACACGAGTAGGCAAAGTTCTTCATGTTTCTCGTGCACGGGAGAGACCGGACAAACGCCGTTCCTTCGCTTGACCCCAGTTGCTCTCGTCCGTTCTCCCGTACCACTGTTCTTTTATTGAGGTTACATGAATATGCATAGGTTCATTAACATATGACGTCTACATAGGTATACATGTGAACAAAGAATACTGTGTGTGTGTGTGTGTGTGTGTGTGTGTGTGTGTGTGTGTGTGTGTGTGTGTGTGTGAGGTCAAGATGTGACCCTGTGAAGACTCCCCAAAGGCTGGTGCCAGGACGTCTGAACAAAAGGCTCTTATACTCAAACAGATATACGTGTGTTTGCTATACCATAAATCAATAAGGAGAAGATAAACTCTCCTAGGGAGTGTGATCCATGCCAGGACACTCTGAGTAGAGGAATGTATGCACCCCCCTCTACACAGAGTTAATAGGATGAGACATCCTTTCTATCTACAAATGATTATACACCTCTAAGCATATATGGTTAAATATTTCTAAGCATAAATGACAATCAACAATACAAATCTAACAATATTAATGAGTTGATATTATTTATTATCAAACCTATTTGCTGATATTTGCCTATTTACTACAGCAGAGACAAATGATGAAAAAACCATAATGGATTGAAATCTTGCAGCGACAAGACCCACAAGGTCCTCCTGCTCAAGAAGGCACATGTATATAAAAAATGGTAAATGGCCTGTATTTGTATAGTGCTTTACTTAGTCCCTGTGGACCCCAAAGCGCTTTACACTATATTCAGTCATCCACCCATTCACACACTGGTGATGGCAAGCTACATTGTAGCCACAGCTGCCCTGGGGCGCAGAGGCAGGGCTGCCGGACACTGGCGCCACCAGTAGTCTTGCCCAAGGACACCATGACCGAGACTGTCGGAGCCGGGGCTCGAACTGGCAACCTTCTGATTACAAGACGAACTGCCATCTCTTGAGCCACAGTCGCCTGTGTTAAATTTGCCAGTAACCATCTAAATGATTCAGAGAAGGTTTGGAATAAAGTGCTGTGGTCAAATGAAGCAATATAAATGCTTTTATGATCCAAAGAGCATCATCCCCACCCTCAAGCACAGAGGTAGAACCATTATGCTCTGGGGCTGTATTTGTGCTAAGCGTACAGGACAAATTACCTGAGCCAGAATACTGAAAATGGGCAATGGATGGGTTCTCCAGCATGACAGTAACCTAAAACACACCACTAAGCCAACAAAGGAGTGGCTAAAGAAGAACCACATAAAGGTCTATCTAGAAGTCAGACCTCAGTCCTGTAGAAAAGCTGTGGAGGGAGCTGAAGCTTTAAGCTGTCAAGTGGCAGCCAAGACAACTAAGGAATTTGGAGCGTTTCCCAGAATCATTCTTAAGATCTGTGCAAACCTGGTGATCAGCTACAAGATATGCATTACTGCTGTGCTTGCCAACTATGGTTTCTCTAACAAGGTTTACCTTTAACAAGACCAAGAAAAACCACTTCTGCAGACGAGTTCAAGTTAGACTGCAGCATACTATCGACAACCTTGAGAAAAGATTATTGTTATGGCCGGTCTAGGGGACCCGACCGCAGCAAGAGGAATGATCCACCCCCAGTTCGACCCCAAGCAGCACATCACACCATCAGTTAAAATAAGGAATGGTTTATTTACAGGAACGAAACAAAAACGGGTTTCATAGGAGTCACTCAGGCTTTGGGGTGGACCCATGCCAAAATAACAAAGAAAAGGAAACTAACTCAGAGGAGCAACTGCTTGCCTAGCCCCAGAGAAAAATAACCAAACAATAATCACTTACCTTCCTGACTAACAAAACATGAGAAAACTGTGCCCAACTTCCTCCTGGATTCACAAAGCAACACAGGGCATGACGCAGCCCCAGCCGATTGGGGTAAAACCGAGGATGGATGGATTGCCGTCTTCAACCGCGCCATCTTCTACTCCGCCTCCAGAGCAGCATCCAATCCGGGCACACCATCTTTGGGATCCACCACTCCTGGAGGCGCACCTGCACACTCACATTTACATGTCAGAACCCCAGCACACGACGGCAGTCATAACAATTATGCATCCATTGTTAAGATGAGCTGAAACTAGAATTCTAGCCATAGAGCTAGCTCTTCTGTATGTATTACTGTAGGGTCTACCTTACAATATAAAGTGACTTTAGGTGACTGTTGTGATTTAGCGCTGTATAAATAGAATAGAATTGAATAGACACACTCTTTTGGTTGGAGAATGAAAAGCGAGATGTACAATCCAAGAACACCTTTCCTACACGGAAACACGGTGGGGGGAATATTATTCAGCGGTTGGAATTGTGAATCTCATCAATGTGGAAGGAACTATGAAGAAAAAAGCATACAGTGGGGCAAAAAAGTATTTAGTCAGCCACCGATTGTGCAAGTTCCCCCACTTAAAATGATGACAGAGGTCAGTAATTTGCACCAGAGGTACACTTCAACTGTGAGAGACAGAATGTGAAAAAAAATCCATGAATCCACATGGTAGGATTTGTAAATAATTTATTTGTAAATTAGGGTGGAAAATAAGTATTTGGTCACCTCAAACAAGGAAAATCTCTGGCTCTCACAGACCTGTAACGTCTTCTGTAAGAAGCTTTTCTGTCCCCCACTCGTTACCTGTATGAATGGCACCTGTTTGAACTCATCATCTGTATAAAAGACACCTGTCCACAGCCTCAAACAGTCACACTCCAAACTCCGCCATGGCCAAGACCAAAGAGCTTTCGAAGGACACCAGGAAAAGTATTGTAGACCTGCACCAGACTGGGAAGATTGAATCTACAATAGGCAAGCAGCTTGGTGTGAAAAAATCAACTGTGGGAGCAATCATCAGAAAATGGAAGACATACAAGACCACTGATAATCTCCCTCGATCTGGGGCTCCACGCAAGATCTCATCCCGTGGGGTCAAAATGATCATGAGAACGGTGAGCAAAGATCCCAGAACCACACGGGGGGACTTGGTGAATGACCTGCAGAGAGCTGGGACCAAAGTAACAAAGGTCACCATCAGTAACACACTACAACGGCAGGGAATCAAATCCCGCAGTGCCAGACGTGTTCCGCTGCTGAAGCCAGTGCATGTCCAGGCCCGTCTGAAGTTTGCCAGAGAGCACATGGATGATACAGCAGAGGATTGGGAGAATGTCATGTGGTCAGATGAAACCAAAGTAGAACTTTTTGGTATAAACTCAACTCGTCGTGTTTGGAGGAAGAAGAATACTGAGTTGCATCCCAAGAACACCATGCCTACTGTGAAGCATGGGGGTGGAAACATCATGCTATGGGGCTGTTTTTCTGCCAAGGGGACAGGACGACTGATCCGTGTTAAGGACAGAATGAATGGGGCCATGTATCGTGAGATTTTGAGCCAAAACCTCCTTCCATCAGTGAGAACTTTGAAGATGAAACGAGGCTGGGTCTTCCAACATGACAATGATCCAAAACACACCGCCCGGGCAACAAAGGAGTGGCTCCGTAAGAAGCATTTGAAAGTCCTGGAGTGGCCTAGCCAGTCTCCAGACCTCAACCCCATAGAAAATCTGTGGCGGGAGTTGAAAGTCCGTGTTGCTCGGCGACAGCCCCAAAGCATCACTGCTCTCGAGAAGATCTGCATGGAGGAATGGGCCAAAATACCAACTACTGTGTGTGCAAACCTGGTAAAGACCTATAGTAAACGTTTGACCTCTGTTATTGCCAACAAAGGTTGTGTTACAAAGTATTGAGTTGTATTTTTGTTATTGACCAAATACTTATTTTCCACCCTGATTTACGAATAAATTCTTTACAAATCCTACCATGTGGATTCATGGATTTTTTTTCACATTCTGTCTCTCACAGTTGAAGTGTACCTCTGGTGCAAATTACTGACCTCTGTCATCATTTTAGGTGGGGGAACTTGCACAATCGGTGGCTGACTAAATACTTTTTTGCCCCACTGTATGTAAAGATTTTGAAAGAAAGCTTTAAGTAGTCAGAAGCAAAACTGGGTCTGGGTTGTCACTTTGTCACCTTCCCCCACGACAATGTTCCAAATTATACCTCCAGAAGACCAAAGTGAATATTACTGGCTGGCCTGCACCAAGCACTGACTTGAATCACATTGAAAATTCGTGGACCAAGGTCCATGCCAGAAGATCATAAAATCTGGAGGAGCTTGAGAGATTCACCAAAGAAGAGTCCGCGTGGATTGCTCAGGAGACATGAGTGAGACAACAAATGACTGCGGGCTGTTATCGAGCAAAAAGGATAGGCAAATGATTGCTTTTTGTGGAAAAAAAAGTATTTCTGTCTTCAAAGTAAAATAATATAAGCATCCACATAAAACTAGGATATTTGGCTGTGTTGAAATTCTCTTGTTCCATTTAACAACACCTGAGAGTTACTTTAATAACAGACATTTTCTGGGTGGGAGGTTAGTAATTCTGACCTCATATGTATGTGTACATACCTCTGCCACATTAATCACAACCTGAAAGTAATATCATCCTTTATTTAATATAATCATTTGTGGTTTTTACTTATCAGTGTTAGCACTAACATATTGAAAAGCCTGATGTTCAGACATTGTCCTCTGAGTAGAAAAAACAACAACAACATTCACATTCACACACACACCAATGGCTGATTCCGTACGAACCTCTTGCTTTAGTACTTTGCCTGATGATACTTCAGCATATAGATTTGTGGAGCCAAGGATCAATTACAAACTTTCTTTGTTTGCTGACCCATTCTAAGCCACAACCACTCAAATAGGCTCTGGTATTCAACGGTAATCACCCATCTATGTACTAACCAATCTCGACCCTAATTAGTTTGCAAGATTAGATGAAATTGGGCATGATGAAATAGGGCTCAGTGTTAAGCCCTTAGGACTCCCCTTTTTGTTGGGATTGTAAGTTTTGGTGGCATGAGAACTCTGCCCCTATCATGGGACTTGTGTCATATGCTAAGAAGTGTGAAAGTTAGTGATGGATAGAGCAGAGCTACATGGTGTAGCACTGCTTTCTGCTTTGTTTGTGTATATGTGTAATGAGCTCTTTTCCTGTGTTTCTGCTGCAGATCGTGATTGTGCAGTTTGGAGGGAAACCCTTCAGCTGTGCTCCTCTCAACATCGAGCAGTGGCTTTGGTGTCTGTTTGTGGGAGTTGGAGAGCTGCTCTGGGGGCAGGTAAGTAGCTCTTTAGCCTGCTGAATCAAACAACACTAAGCAAGTGTAGGCTGGCAGACCTGGTTTTTTCCAAGGTGAGGCTAAGGAAATATATTCACACTGCCTGAGAGAACACTTCAGAGCTATTTTGTGCTAAAACTGACAGTTAAATAATAAACCACTGCATGTGAACTAAGGTTGGAAAAGCACACACGCTGCTCATTATTTTGTCACTCTGGTTTGTTCTGGTCAAGTAACATTGTTACAAATCTGGCTTCCAGGTGATTGCTACAGTTCCTGCAGAGCGACTGCCGTGTTTGAAGGAGGCGGGGTTGGGACTAGAACCAGGGGAGGAGGAAGGGGAGGAGCTGGCAGAGGATGAGGAGGAGATCGACTGTGCAGAAAGAGAGCTGCGCCGTGGACAGATCCTCTGGTTCAGAGGCCTCAACCGTATCCAGACCCAGGTACTGTTTAACCAGGCCCTAACCAAAAGTCTCACCAACAGATTTCTAGACATGTCAGCCAGAAGCTTCACTTGGTCATGACCACAAGCAGTTTGTTTAAGGTTAATTACAGATAGATTGGGGAATCTTTAAAAGATGTGGTATGTAATCACAAAGAGCTGCACTTCTTTAATCATGTGCAGCATGATAAAATCCACATTACTATGGGAGTGTTCTTACTGCCTAAATAAACTGTTAGTATCATGGCCGTCACACGCTAACTAAAGAGACTTTTGGAAAGAAAGAAGTGCTGCATATTTGACTCTTCTTTGAGAGTTACAATTTTAGATTTGTTCTTACTCTTCAAAAGTCAGTCTCTCTCATCCATGCTGTTGTGCTCTTCTGAATTGTGCCAAACATAATGATTCAGGTTTTTGTTTTTCTCTCTCTCCCCAACGCAGCTAACCTTTTTGTTCCACAAAGTCACAATCACACAATGGCCTTCTCTACCTTGAGAGTGCTATTTTAGATGCTCAGAAACATAACAGGAGATAAATGGTGTGAGTGTATGTGTGTGTATATGTTTGTGCGTGCAGGAGTGAGTATTTACATGTTGTACGCAAGCTTATGCAACTAGACAGGCCACTGATTCGCTTGATTGCTTTGATTGATTCTTGCACAACTTTGTGTGAGAGCGGACTTTAAGACAGGGAAACGACAGCAGTCTCCTCCTAAGGAGTGTCAGAGAGCCAGCCCAGACTCTTTGCTTAAGTGCCTGTCTTTGCATAAAGTGGCCAGTTTTTCATTAAGAGGGTTTGGTCTGAGTGCGTAGTGTGTAGATGCACAGATTTTGTTAGTAATATTCATGAATCAGTTATGATACACTGAAATCAGAGAATTTTTTACTCTGTCTGTGACAGGAGAATCTTTTAAAAGGACCAAAGACACACGCACACACTCAGACTGGACTTTCCTGCCCTTACTGAATGATGCTGTTTGTATCTCTGTCCTGCAGATGGAGGTAGTGAGCACGTTCAAGCGAAGCGGTTCGTTTCAGGGAGCGGTGAGACGGCGCTCCTCTGTGCTCAGTCAGCTCCACGACGTAAACACTATCTCTACCCCCTCTCACGTAGCTCTCTCTACTGCAACAGCCAATACCAGCCCAGCCCCTGGGAGTGAGTCCGCCGAACGCATGTACACACATACAGAAGCATTCGTGCATACATGCACACACTCACACACTCATTCAGAGACACAGAAACACACACTCGCACCCACTCAACCACCCACACACTGCCACACAGCTGCACGGCACGTGGACTGCAGTATTTTGACTCTCTATGGTTGTGTCCCTCCGGCTCGCTCGCTACTCGTGTTGTGTGCAATGTGTCCTCTGTTCTTTGCTCTTATTCTCCCTTTCAAACAGCACCCAATCCTGCCACGGCTGTGTAGTTCTGGTATTGTCTGGTCTGGTCCCAACCCACTCCTGGTCCCAGGCCAGAGACTGTTTTTGTTGTTTGTCAGTGCAGGAGGGAGCTAACTGTTCTCTCTCTGTCTGATGTGCCCTGATGCAAAAGATGCAACACTTTTATAAGTGACTCAGATTTTAAAAAAACAAGGAGTTTGTTATGCATAATTCTCAGAAGCTACGGATGCATCCTGAAGTTTAGAGAGCAGATAACAGCTCCTCCTGCACAATGTGTTATTTCTTGTCCGTGACTGAGGTCAAGCGTAGTTACTGTGGTTTGCCTCTGTTGTAAAAATCTCTATTGTAAAGGTGTCTTTCTATTCTCTGAACAACAACACAATGTAGTACTTCTCTAATACATTCTTGAGTCTCTACATACTTTGGAAAATGCTACAAATATTTTTCACTGCCATAGAATTCATTATCATTAACAAAAGGCTTCCATGTGGCTTCAGCAATACTGTAAACCTTCGAGTATAAAAGCCCTATAACACACTGCTCTTTTTAAGAATGTAGTTTTATAAAGAAACGGTTCCTTTTGCCTCTATCTTTCTAGCTTTCCTTCTTCCTCTTCTCTCACTTTTGTTCGGTGCTGAAATTGTTGTCAACTGGTTATTTCTGTAACAGTATTTCCAGCTCCAACGTCACAAGTTTGGCCCCTGACGTCTCCAAAAAGTCCTGATTTCTCTCTCTGTCCACTTTGTTTTTCCTCACCCCTTTCTCTCTCTCTCTCTCTCTCAATGGCAGTTTTCTCTTTCTTGTCTTTCTTCCTTATTTATGAGATATTACAGGTTCCCTGTTTGCAGAAATATTATGTGAAATGTTTTCTAATTGTTCTTCATAAGTAGAGTTGTTCTTTTGTAGTGGTATTTAGATTTTATCAGATCTAAATACAGGCTCTTGTGTAGCATACTGATAAGATTTCTTTAGTAGGTTTCTCTTCATTTAATTTTTTTTTCTCAGTTTTCTTGGACCTTACGTTGTCCTTTACCTCATCCCTTTTTGTCATCCTCCATTTTCTTACTAGAATAGCAATCACCCTTCCATCTTTTCTCTTGATTTCTTTGTATGTCAGTTCTGCACGTCTGTGTGAAAGCCTGTTTGAACACGTGTTCTTTGCTGACATATCCGAGAGCTGCAGTTTGACTTGTGTGTATTCTCTGTTGGCGTGTGAGTGTGTGCACCTGTGCTCGTATACCTGTCTGCGTGACTGCGTGCATGCATGTGTGTGTTTGTGCTGTCTCTTCATTTGATTGTCATCAACCGTCTTCTCAGTTGCTTCTCTTTACCTTTCTTGCTCCCTTCCGTCCATCCTTCCCTTCCTCCATTTCATGCTGACCTCCTCTCCACCATTCTCATCACATGTAGGTGTAAATACAGAGAGGCCCAAGGCAGCACTGTTGACACCTCATTGTCACAATCACCCTGTGCAGACAGTAGGAGGAACCTGGCCTTTGTTTAAGTACTTTGGAAACATATCCTTCACTTCAACACTTTATAATATAGCATGTTAAAAAAATCAACACTGGAAGTAGAACATTGGTTTGGTGTAAAGTTGGTTGTAGAGGAGTGGAAGGAGGGATGTACAGTCCAAGTATGAAGCAAGTTTTTAGGTCTGCTAGCTCATTTGCTTGCTTTTTCTAGTCTTCTACCTTAATTCGAATAGCTTGTTATGTCCAAATCTGTTACTCAACAGCAGCGTGACACATACTTTTTACATTTTGCAGCCATCCTGTAGTGGCTGAGCCCCTGATGGGAAACAAAATGGATTTGGACAAACAAATGGAACAGGGAGAGAATGTGAAGGACCAAGCATTAACTTTGAGTCTGATGTGACCCAGGTTGTGTTCTCTGAATCACTTTGTGCTGTCTGGAGGCATCCAGTGGTCAAATAAAATCTCCCATTGTTCTCAACTCCAGCTTGGTTTATGCAGAAAATATGAATCCGAATGTGTCACAAGCCTAAGCCAGAGAAATGTATATATATATATATATTTCAGAAAGGGTTTTTCTTAAACGAGAGGTCAGGTGAACCAACAATGAAAGTATGGTGCTAACACATATTGTAATGTGCCTGGAAGAGTATTCAGCCATGGTTCTTTATGCATGTGCCAGTCAAGGTGAATCTTTCCCTCTGTATTAACTGAAACAAAACAACACTTTCTTTACGTGGGCCAAGATTTTGCCATAAAATGCTACCATTCAGCTAATGCATGCTGATTCTTCTGTTAAAGATTTACCACGGACTCTAAGTGCTTTCTGTAATGATTACAGAAAGAGATTTTGAGATTAAATATTATTAAAATAAAAGTTAAAATAATATTTTGAGAATGAAGTCAGAATGTTGAGATTTAAGTTGTCATTTCAAATCAAACACTGCCACAGCTACTATACGCTCTACAACTTGCATAGTCAAAATTGTGTTTTAGCTTTTGTCTTTTGAGTTTCATCTCAAGATTTTGACTTTATTCTCAAAATTAACAGTAATGTTTCTGTTCTTACTGTGGCCCTAATATGCCATCTATAGTCCCTTTGGTCAAAATCGTGATAAAAATGCTTAACCATTTTTTGTGAGAAATTTGTGAGTATTGAGATGTTCTTTGGTTGTAGACATTACTGCTATCAGTGAATGTCCGCATTCTAACCTGCTTACAGTGGGTAAAGTGTGCTTTTACACCCACAATCCGGAGGAAAATCAAAGTCATGGCTCTCTTTTGACTTTGTGTTACAGTAATTTGAATGTTTATTGGAAATTGGAAATCTGTGAGCACCATTTTTATTTTTTCACAAGCGGTGTGTAAGCAAGCGTAGTTGCACACATAACACATAGCTAGAACTGGATTTTATAACAGCTTACAAGGGGTATAAATTAATCTTTTTATAGTGACATTTTTTTAGAAATAAAATCCCCACTTTTTTTTCAGTATTTTCCTCTTCTATGCCAGTGCAAACATGTACGCATATGACCTGATGCAGTGTCCAGTTTATACCCTGCAACTCGTCCAGTGTCAGCTGGGATAGTCATACTTTTCTGGGGCAAATGGACTGAAAATTGTTTTAAAAAATATTTAAGGTAAAATTGGCCTTGTAGTAGTTGTGGCTGTCCTGTAAACAGTTTTACTCTATGATTATTTATATTAATTTGTTAACAGTGTGAAAGAGATTTGGATTGTAATACTATGAGTGACCACAAGTTTAAGTTGGCAGTGAAGCTGTCACAATTCAGGAAATTGTTTTATATTATCACCCTTTTTTTTTTTTTAATGACCTCTTAAGATGAGGGAAATGTCCTCTTCATTGCCAGGGGTTGGTTGTCTGATTGGACCAAAGCACCAAATTCACATTACTTGCAGATGCCCATGTGCTATCCAAACAGAGTGGCCTGTCCCCCAGCATTGCTGCTTATCCACAGTTTGTTTCAGGGACAGACTCTAATCCACTACCCAAAGTTCTTTCTAAAGCAACCAGACTTGTGCCCTGTTGAATTATGGTGTGCCTACACCCTGACATTGACACCACTGACTCCCTGACCAATTCTATGAGAAGACAGCAAAGGCAAATCCGAAGGAAATATCACAAATAATAAGTGGAGATATAAAAATGATAAAAGTCTTTGTTTATTGCCGTCATTCACCTGAGCTGTGTTGGATCTTAGAGATTCCTCTGGATCTTTAGAAGTGATCTATGGATCCAGTTTCATTTCATTTCAAGCTGAGTTAGTTAATTCCATGAGCAAGTCCCATTAAAGAGATTAACCTTTAAGTTTACTTTTGTCGGGAAAAAACAAAGGGCAATAAGCTATTTTACTCTAATCCATTCAGTTCTTTAGTAAAGAATTTTTAAATTAAAAATTAAAAAAATACATCAGCCTCCACCCTTAAATGGGATGTGAGCATATGACATATGAAGAAAAGATGCTCTTAATGCCACAAGGTGTCACTATGGATTACAGCTCATTATACCAGGGGTGAATGCCTCTTCAGTTGGGCCTCAATTCGGGAATTAAGAACCATTAACCAGTCATCTACCTCACAGCTTCTCCCAGTATTTATGTTGCAGTCTCTTCTCATCAGCAGTTCTTTTGCCTCTCTATCTTCCAGCGCCCTTTTTTCTCCTCGTACTTTAACCATCATTGTTTTTCCATCAAGCACTGCTGAAAGAGCCAACAGGGAGAGAGGGAGAGACAGAAAAGAAATGGTTGAGAGGAATAAGTAACACAGCAGTGCCCTGACCTCCGGGCCTCTCTGGTCACACTGGTGGGCGTCATATACTCGAAAGTTTACTCTTACCATGGAGACAAAATGAAAACAAACCGAGCACTGACGAAGTGAGAAAGTAACATTCTGAAACCTTCTCAGGCTGCATGAGGTGTTTTTCTACTGTCTGACATGCTCTTTGGAAAAACAGATAAGCACTGAACCTACCGCTTGACCGTCTGTCTGTACATCTGTATGTCTCTCAGTCTATCATATGAGCCAGAGTCATATATAGAGACTTCTCCTAGTTTGGCCAACTGCAGCATTGAACTCCATTCAGCTGCTTGACCATCCGCCTCTCATAATCACAGTTGGGACTCCAGTAGGTGTTGCAGTGAACATGAAGCTTTTTCTTTGCCGATCTCATTCGGCCAAACTGTCTCTGTATAAGGCTCTGTCTGCCTCTGCCTGTCAGTATATTTGCATTAAACTGTCTCTCTTTCTTTTGAGCTCATGCTGCTTCTTTTCCTCTGTTTGGGCGTTGGAGATGGGTGCATGGACCAACTGCTATGGCAAAGGAATGTGTTTATGCACGCATACACCACCTTGAAGTGCACTCGTAAAACTCACTTGTGCGTGTGTTTGTGTGCGAGCATGTCTGTGAGAGAGAGGGAGAGACAGAAAGAGAGTGTAAGTGACAAAGATCTGATTAAGCATGACCTGACTGTCTCTCTCTGTGGCAGGGCTGACACCCAAGCTTCACTCTTTTCTTACTAGTAATCTAGCTAATCACATAGTGTTCTAACCTGCTGATTCTTCATGATGTCACTTTTCTGTTTTGCAAGATTTGTTATTTTACATCCCGCAGCAACTTCATCGTCATCATTCTTGTCACTCTGCTCTCCTGTCTGTCACTGCTGCATGGCACACAGAACACTTTGCACATGTGCATGAGCACACGTGTCGGGGTGCTGACTGAATGACTCACAGTTTGGCTGTGTTTATAAAGCAGCTCTCTTTAACAAACAGCTCCCATGACTGACAGCTGCCCGATGCATGCGGAATTCAGACTCCAAACTGCACGATGTGGAGATAACTCTGGTCCACTCTGCTGCATGCATGTATTATTTATGTGTGTATGTGTGTTTGGTCACTGCTATAGGTTCTTGCAAAATTCTTCTTTTATTGTATATTGAATTAACACACTCACCATTCCTGCTTCTTTCTCCATTTGTGCCTAACAAACACCTTCATCTGTGTGTGCATGCCTGTGATCCTGTGTGCTGAGGTATGAGTGTTTTTCCCATGCATAATGTATCACCAGCCCAACAGATTGCACACACACAAACAGCCATATAGACACATATGCCAAGTGTGTGTGATGTAAAGTTTCTGCAGCTTTAGTGTTTTTTGTGATGGTGGCTACTGAATGTTTTTGTCTTGTAAGGTGTGACCGATGTGTGAGAACTGACAGAAACATGTCATCAGCCAACTCATTTTAAAACTATTTATTTTTCACTTTTGTGTGTTGGAGACACACAGGATCAGGTGGATGTCTAGCTGACGCTAAATTAATCCAGATATGATGTTACCCCAGTATAATTAATCTTCAATTGTCAGACAGATTGCTATTAAATTAGTGCAGTGCCATGGTTTGGATGGTGATATAGTTAAAAACTTTAAACAAGATCTATTCTGCTTATTTAACAATGTGGTGTAGCTTCTGAAAAATGTGTTTCTATCCAGAATGGATCATACATGCAGGCAACACAAAGGACTTAGGTGGTTATTACATGATATGGTGATATATCTCAATTAAATGAAATGCACCAATTTATTTTCAAGATGACCTATTCTGCTGTCTTATAACAACCTCTCAGGTCATAGAGGTCCTGTCTGAAAGAAACTCGTCCTTTAACACTACCCTCACTTTAAGCCAACTTTCTTTTGATTGGCCTCCCTTCATAAACAACAGGTCTAAGCAACAGCTAGAAGAGACTTCTGTGCTCATAGCCAGGGCTGTTTTTGTCTATGTTAGGGATGTCCACTTTCAATGACATCATGCAGATCCAGATGTAGAAATAAACTACCTAAAACAACATCTATCTAAACAAAGTTATAAATATATTTATTTAATCCATGTTTTCCTTTCCATGGCTATTTGTCAACCTTCTTCCATACCAGTCAAATGATTATATCAATTTGTGCTCTCACGTCATCTTTATAGCATTTTCTTAACTTGCTTCTTACCTGAATCCATGCCATAATATAAATATTAAAAACATAGGTCTTACAGTATTTATGCTGCTTTTAAGAATACAGTGTTAAAATCTATGACATCAAGGGGCTTAGGGCATGAAGAAGTTGGGTTTGATCACTCTGGGCAATTAAAGATGCATGATTCAAAAAGGCATCTGTGGGGCAGAGCGAAAACAGCTAAGTAGGGATTTGAACTAATTTGTCAAGTTGTTCAGATGACACATACTATTTAGCACCTTAAAGCCTAAAATATAATATCACTTATTCATCATTTATTAAATGCTTTTATTGTGTTTTTACTTAAATTCTAAATGTAATTCATGTAAAATAAATAAATTCTTTTTTTTTTTAAAGCTACTGCTCCGATGGGGATTTTAAACAGGATAAATCAAGAGCAGAAGATCAGAATCAAGACCTAGCTAACAGTGTGCTAGCTGTACATTTATATTTAGCAGACTGACACAAGAAGGGTATCAGTTCAGATTTGTGTATTTGAGCATTTTAAAAATCTTTTTCAAAATCTTTCTTCATACTAAGAGTTTGATGTTTATGTTTAGCTTAACTTAAGTAACAAAAAAACAAAAAAAAGCAAGAGATATAGCGCTAGCCTAACCATATCCAAAGTTAAGAGAATGAACTTACCATACAAGTAAGGGTTTCTTATCCTTGAAAATAATATTGATGTGTCGATTAGAATGATTGATATCATTCTGAAGAGCACTAGTCACTTGCAGTGTCAAAACACCTTAAATCTTAGTAAAAAAAAAATGAAGCATATTTTATCATTTCAAAATATTATTTTACTTGTACTCTGTTTAAAAAGTGGAAGATTGATGTGCCTTTGTCCTTTGTCCTGAGCGAGTCCTATTAATTTCAGCTTCCACAGCAGCTCTTGGTCAAAAATTTAACTGACCATTAGAAGTTACATTGCCTTTATTTTAACTGCAGCCACCTGGCCCTGAGTGTCTGCTTGTCTCTTACTCTGTTTGTCTGCTGGAGGACACAAGTGGGTCTGTCTTTGGGGTCCCATGTCTCCTTTTTCTCTTCTTTTTCTCTGACTTTCTCCTCTGTCTTTTTTGTGGTCTCTCCCTGATCTCTTTTCTTCTGGGCAGATGCGAGTGGTGAAAGCATTCCGTAGTTCACTGTACGAGGGCCGGGAGAAACCGGAATCCCGCAACTCCATCCACAACTTCATGGTCCACCCAGAGTTCCTCATCAATGACCTCATCCACAACATCCCGCTGATCGACGACACCGATGTGGATGACGAATCAGAACTCAGCAGATACCAGCACCTGCACCCGGCCCTCCGCAAGCCGCCCCCGCCTCCCACCCAGCCCCAACCCCCGCCTCGCACCCATCCCACCCGGCCCTACCGCCAGTACAGCCTCCCGGTGACCCCATGCAACCGAAACAACAACAACAACAGCAGCAGCAGCAGCAGCAGCAGCATTGATTCAATGGTCGCCTACAGCAACCGAAACAGCACCAACGCAGTCATCACCTACAACCGAAGCCCCCGTCATCACCACCACCACCTCCACCATAATCATCATGGCAGGGACAGGCCGGTGAAACCCTCAACCCCCTACCCGGCCCATCTCTACTGTGTGGAGACCTCCTTATAACTGATCTGAACTTGGGTTTGGGAGGGGGGGTGGAAAAAGGGGGGATGAAGTTAGGGTGAGAAAAAGAGAGGGCTGAGGACCTACACACATGACATTTTCATCTAATCGCCCTTTCAACAAGCTCACAAGAGGGAGCAAAGGACAAGGAGGGAGTGGACAATGGCCGGAGACTTCTGCTTACAACTCCCTGAGAACATGTTGCCACTTTCCCTCCCTTTGCCCTTACCCCAGCCCTCTCAGTCTGACTTCCCACCTTCGCCCCAGTCCCTCCCCTCCTTTACCCACAAAACCATCCAACTCAGTCTGTCACCCCCTTCTTGTGGAACCCCACTCACCCTGCCCAGCTGCACACCAACTTCATGCACGCTCTTGTCACACACACCTGCAGGTCTGCTTTGGCAGGGTCTGAGTGGGGGGGGGGGCAGACGTCCAGAAGAAAACCACACATTCCCTAATGCTTCAGCAGAACAAGGCCATGCGGCTATGGGGGCTGACTCACTCCATTTCTATTGGTGTTCATCATTAATGTTGTCGTCACCCACTTTCCACCACCATTTATCTACCACCATTTATCTGGGTAGATTCTGCAGCCGCTTCAAAGTCACTACTTTGCTTGTAGTATAAGTAAAACGCTTTGTTAAAGCTTTAACAGTCATTTCCATTTCCCATTCATTTATTTCCCAACATAATGGTGCTCATTTATTTCGTTCTTATATATCATTTTATTTCTTCTCAGAAACTTTGAGTTATTTTTCTTTCATCCCTCTTTCTCGTTCATTGTGTGTACGTATATTGTCTTGTCTCTTCTGAAAAAAACAAACAAAAGCATAACAAAAAAAGGTTGCGCTTCATTTAAATACAATGGCTGTGACAATGTCTAAAAGATCAGGGCACTTATATCTATGTATCTGTCTATAGGTACATAGATATAAATGTTTGGGAAGCAACAACACAGAACTCATTCATCACCTCACTTTGTCTTTGAATGCTGCCCCATTTGTTCACATGACCTGTTATCTGGAATATTGCTCTGAGATGAACAGTGTATGAGATGTCATGTTAATTTGGATATATTACTGTGTAAATTTCATTTCAAGCCTCCTGCCATATCCCCAGTATTCATGGGGAATATCTGCACCTGTCACCTTGGGCAACCTCCATGGCTGACATCCTCTTCCAGTCCCTTCATTTCTGTTCCGTGTCCCATCGTCTTCTCTCTTGCTGTTCCTCCTTTGCTCATTTTGTCGCATTACGTCCAAGAGTTTGTCGGTGCGTGTGTGTCAGCTTTTTTCTTTTTGAAAAAAAAGCTGAATGCTTGGGAAGCATTAACCCTTTAAATGCCATCAAACACGCAATGCACAGGCGAAGGCCCTTTAAGACTTAACGTGCACTCGGTTGGAAGCCCCTCCTGCTCACATGATCAGGTCGTCTCTGTTACGTAACCAGCGCCCTCTGCGCAGACAAAAGGATTGTGCCATTTTAACCTGCTCAGTGTCTCAACCACATGCCCGCATCTAATGTCAGTGTTCACTTTTAGATATCAGGTACAACCAAGAAGAGCATATTGTAAATGTTATTATGTCCTTGCGCATTCCCCTTCATTACTCTGTACAGATATAAGGCTATGTGTTTTAGCTAGTTAGCTCCATTTAGCATAAAGAGCTAGCCTAACTTATTCAGAAACACCTGTAAAGCACTCCAATTACCACGTGACGTCTCCCTTTTAAATTTTTGAGTTATGCAATTTTGTTGCTTTTGTTTTGTGCCAGGGAAACAAGCAAAATCTTAGTTAAAGTCTGACAGCTTTTCATATTGGGGCGACTGTGGCTCAGGGGGTTGGGAAGTGTATCTGTTACCGGAAGGTTGCCAGTTCGATCCCCGGGCTCTCTGTCCTGGTCGTTGTGTCCTTGGGCAAGACACTTTACCCTACTGGTGTTGGCCAGAGGGGCTGATGGCGCAATATGGCAGCCTCACTTCTGTCAGTCTGCCCCAGGGCAGCTGTGGCTACAACCGTAGCTACATCCACCAGTGTGTGAATGAATAGTGGCATTGTAAAGTGCTTTGGGTGCCTTGAAAAGCGCTATATAAATCCAATGCATTATTATTGTCACAATATCTATGAAAACATATGACACACAGATAAGGATCTGTAAATGCCATCCTAAATGCAGATATAACAATAGTAGTGAGTGAAGGCTGATAGTGTTTGATACAGGGGTTAAGCCTATACATTGATGGTTCTGTAACCTTTAAAAAACACAGGACACGTGCAGGTCAAAATCTCTTCTCTCTTGGCTGTCAAGAGACATCAAACTGCTACAAGAAAGAGCATCATTGTGGTGACAGTGGACTGTGCTGCAGGAGGATGTTTTAGACAGCAAACAAGAGGAACTGCTGCTGCTACACCACAAAGCTCACAGTCCCAATAATGGTCTCATAGTTGTTGACACATTATTTCCACTTTATGCTGTTTATGCAGGTCCAAGTCTCATTTATTAAATTATTTTAAAATTAAAACTGGATGCAATAAAGATTTCAGGGCTTAAAACATCCCCAGCCAGACTCTGGACAGCAGGCTCATGAAACAGGTAGTAAGTTTTCTTTGTGACACTAATCTAGATCTATTACAGTTTTTACAACAGAGCTTTCTTAAGGTTTGCTGTTGTGGTGCCTCATCATATAAAAGATGAAAGGGCATGGAATTTAAACTTGCTGCATTTCATTCACTTTTCAACACACATCCAGGAAATAAGGCCAAAGCCTCTGGTAACAAACAAAAGTATCAACCAAGTCCTTTCCAGGTCATAGCCCTTAAAAACATAGCCAGCAACTACATTACTGTACATCTGTGGATCACACCATGGTGTGATGCAGTGCAGAAGGAGATATGACTCAACTCAATTTCAGTGTAAAAAAAATAGAACAGCTCACTAGTGTTTAAAAAACAAACAAACAATTAACCACAATTACCCATATAAAAAAACATCTGGATAGACAAACAGTGAAGTAAATGTAGGCTTGCTAAGCTGGAAACCAATCATCTAAACTTTGAGAATCCCTAAAAGAAATGGTTAGAAATAGAAGGATAAGTCATGGTTTTAGGAAGGTTTGTGTGCAGAGTGATTTATGGGTCAGGCTAAGTACACTTCTGTATTAAACCACATCTAACCTGTGAGCTTTATACGTGCTGCTAGAAGAACTGAACTGTTTCTAGTCTTTATGTCAAGCTAAGCTAAACTAAGCTAACTTCCTGCTGAACCCATGCCTTTATCTAACTCACTACAAGAAACCCAGTCAGCCACTTTGCCAGACATTATGTCTAAGCTGCCAACCTAAAAGGCCATAACACACTGCATGAGCACACAGCCCAACGAAAACAACAAAAGAAGAGAAAAAAAAAAATCAGATATCCACCATAGTGATGACACCAGTGACATCACCTCCACCTTGACATTCCATGGAACATACATTCCAAACATCACATTCCAGAGCAGCTGTGAGAGCGCCCTCCTGTATCCCATATTGTACTAGGTGTGGGTGGACCGCTGACTTCATGTTGCCTCAGAGTGTGACACCTCAAAGCAATGCAAACTCCTGCTACCTCCCCTTTCTCTGCCCCTCCACCTCCCCTGCAGCTGACTTGTCCCACCGCCAGACTAAGGCAAGGGCAGACGTTATGCAAAAGACTGCCATGTCGACAAACGCACCCAACCATTGGATTAAAACCACAGTGAGAGAACGCATCTGTCCTGCTAGTTCTGTTTCAGTAAGTGCGCAGGGCTTTCTGGGAACACCCTTACCTGTACAGAACTCTTGTCTTCTTGAATGCTCATCATCATCGTCACCACCCTAAACCGACCTGAGCTGGGTGGGGCAGGTGGTGACCAATAGGTCTGTCTGTTTTGAAGCATGCATTTGGTATCATTAATGTCACACTTTATGTGTTGGTAAGTCATTTAGGCTCTGATCTCTCCACATCTGCTCTCTTCCTCTCGCTCACTCTCTTTCTGTCTCTCACACACACAGACACACACGCACGCATGCGCACATCCTGCTCAAGTCTCCTCTATTTCAGCACAGCTACATCAGTGCTTTTTTCTGTATGTATGAAAACACGCACACACACACACCAGACTACAGGGCAATAATCTCAAGTGGTGTAAATTTGATTGTCCAGGCATCTCTGTCCATCTGTCCAGCCATGTTACATCATGATGTTGTGAGCCAGATTCACAAAAGACAAAACAATGTGAAGAAGAATATATTTATCAGAATTATTTATCAAAATTCTAAATTGTACAACTGCACCATTGTACAGATCGCCCAAATGTGCACATGTGGATCTTTGATTTACAGGTACTATGTTCCTGTTACACTTTTTTTTTAAATGTTTCTTTCTTTTATTTGAATTGCTTTTTGTAAAGAGAGGAACAACAAAATGGAAGCGCTTGTATTATATTGTTATTATTATGATTATTATTCTTGATTTTCTCCACCGGTGCTCCCACTGATGGAAAGACAGTTGCACATTCTCCTGAGCATATTCTGAGGGCTGTGTTTTCTGTCCAGTGAACAGCCCCTGAAGTGTGCTGAGGTGCAGAGATGCTTACAGTCTCTTAAGACCAGAGACACCACTCTATAAATAGAGAACAGGAGATACAAATGTACCTCATTATAGTCTGAAAGACTGGACAAAGTGGGGACCCAGAAGATGGAGAATCAGAAGGCGATGCAGAGCTAGAGACTGCAGAAGTGCAGTGCTTCCATGTGCTGTTTAGGCTGCTCTTTTAGATCTGCCACCAGTATTTACTGCCATGTTACCACAGGAACAAATGAAGGCTTTTACATTATTCATTATACATACTATTGTAAATATTATGTGTGGAATGGTCCCCCTTCTTGCACAAAGCAGTCCTGTTCTGCAGACAGAAAATGCAGCCTTAACTGTGCTGAAAAAAAAAAAAAAAGAAAAAAAAAAAAAAAAAGACCAAAAAAAAGAAAAAAAAACAAACCATGAAGACTATTGAATATATTAAAGAGTTACCTGCCTGTTATTTAAGCGAATAAATATCTATATATGAGAAAGAACACACCTGTATACTGTAGACTAAGTCTGTATGGAAATCTAAGAGAATTTAATGGGAATTAAGTCCAACACCTTTTGTCTGTATGAAAGAAAAAAAAATCAAAGTATTCTACAATAATAACTTTGACAAAGTTTGTGTGGTCCTGTTGTTTGTTCACAATAATGCAGGAATGCCCTTCCATTTTCAAACCTCTGCACAAGGTGATGCATCATCCTGTCCCTCAAAGGTAACTAAAATCACCTGATGAACATCGAGGATTTATATCTGTGTGGGTTTCTTCATCAATGAACCTGACGCTTCAGCTACTTTCTTCAATAAACCTCTTGCGCAACAAACATGGTGGCTTGTCAAACAGGTGGAGTGGATAGTATTAAAG